GTGGCGGCGGAGGCGGAGGGCACTGCCGCTATCCACACTGCAAAGAGGGTGTCCACGGGGATGAGACTCATCCAGCCGATACTGAGAGTAATACAAATGAAAATGGAGATACACACAAGGCGTACAAGCCCTAAAACCCAAACCAAAGCACTGCAAAATTTGGCCACACTGTCACTAATTTCCTACTCAGTACGGATATTATGTTGAATATTGTAAAATCAACTTTGTTCTTTAGCTTTATATATGTCGGGTGTTTTCGAGTCAATAAGGCATCTACTGCCAATTTGTGCTAATTAGTGGTTTGATTTACTGCTGTCTCAATACTGTATGTCTTGTCTTTCGCTTCATGCGAAAGGTTTAATCCAATAAAAAGTTGTTTTTAATTTTAATAACGTATATTCTTATTTTTCATTTGGATAAGTAATATTATTTGATTTTTCTCTTTCTCTTGAACTCGTCCCATCTAGAAGTATCAACCTGAATGTGTTGGCTTTGCATGGCCTGGCTCGAATATAAAAGTTTAATTTGGGTGATTAGAAGGCCTAATATTATTTCGTATATGATATGTGAAGCATCAAACACTCCATCAAATTGAGGACGAGTAGCATAATGCAATGTGTAAGAATGTCTTCACTACGAAGAATCAAGACATCTCGTGATGATGAGATAGAACGATGGTGACACTATTTATGTTACAATTATGATTTTAAGCAAAAAGTGAGAATTATTTATAAGCGTTGTTAACAGCTGCCCGACCCTTCGGCTATCACTGGGGATGAAACCGCACGATCACATGCTGAGGTTCTGGCCGCTGGTAAGAGTCCTATGCCAGATTGGACTCTCGGAAAATCAACCACAGAAGAAAGGGGAGCTTGTTTATGTGACAATAATCAGGAGAATTTTCATAGGAGATAAGGATATGATTCTATAATTCGCGTGATCTTTATTGGAATTTCTTGTTCTTGAGTTTGTGGTTAAAATTAATGTAGAGATACGGTGGATTTACTTATTTAAGTAGGTTTGATTTTACTTGAGAAAGATTACCGAATCATTTAGATAAATTCGATCGCCAACACAATCGAAATAAAATGCCATAGTTGGGTTGGTGAAGTAAAACACGACTATTACAGTGAACTCGTTAATCCTTTTTTCTCTAAATCATCGATTGTTGATCACTTAATAATTCTTAGCTTAAAATATTAGATCACTAAAAATAAATTTCCACGATAAATTTTCACACTGAATCAAGTTTTTAATAGAATTGATTAGGTTAATAGATAATAACATTCCCACGATACTCGATTTACTTTTATACACTTGTCGCAATTTCATACACTAGTGATTTTTAATCCAGTTTCATTCAAAACTTGCAGTCAAGTATTGATTTATAAGAGATACAATCATATAAACAAAAGACGCCCATAATGCTGTGTTGCGTGGAGATATTATACATATTACATTATGGTTCCGGGAGAAATGAACAAACCCTAACTGAGCAATCAACTCCATTCAAATGCCACCGTTTGACTGCCGATTCTTCTTTTTGATAATATGTATATGAATTGATAATACAGAAAATGTTTATTAGTGTAACTCAACTGTATTTGGAACCAACGATGATATTGATATGTATTTGTACTGTAATTATTAGTAATTTGCAGTTTACCACAATGAGTCCACTCCATCTGCAGGAAAAAAAAATGGTAATGAGCTCGAAAGATTAAGATATTTATTTTGAAATAAATAGATAATATGAAAGTTAATTTTGATTCATGGCATGAGAAGGATTTTGATATCACAGATAATAACAAGTCCGAAGTAAAAATTGTGTACTCACTTATGGCCATTTTGTCTAAACCATGCCTAATCATCTGTGGTAAAAATAACCACACGCCCGTATCTCCAACAAATACCACCGTCATCGGCCCCGAAACAAACCTGTGCAACTGCCAACGGCCGCCCAATGCCTTTTTTACGGCTATCTCGAAGGCCCCACAAATCCCTTGAAGAACAAAGAACCTTGTCACCTCCCACGTGGGATATACACGTGATAAGTAATAATAAATCACCTCATGCATGAGACCAGACACCAAGAATGTGACTAGGGTGGCCAAAGGCCGAGCCCACTTGCTGCCTAAAATACGTGTAGAAATACGCTGTACGGGTTGATATACAGCGGGGCGTAGAATACTGCTGACCATGAGGTTCCATCTACAGCCCCAAGAGTCTTGCAGTGAAGTGGCTAAATATGGTTCATTGAACTGTGGTTTCAAATTCTGTCCAAGAATGGCCCTCACCGGAACTGCTGTAATGGCTAAAATCACCTCAAGAGCAAGATAAAGTTGGCAACAGTACAGAGTAAAGACTATACACGGATACACAGACTCCATGTTGTCGTATATACGAGCAATTATTGCCAGAAGAGCACCCTTAAGAGCAAACCAGCTGGTTGATCATAAACAATGGCATTTGAAAACGATTTGCAAAATGAAATGTGTTCGGTTTCGATGGGATTCAGGGAAGGAGCGCTATGGAGATGAAATGGAAGAGGGACAAAGGCAGCGTCGCATATAGAGGGCCTTGATAGAAGGAGAAGAGAAGGAGCTTGAAGTTGCCAAGCCAAACGAGGTATAAAATATTAGCAATACCAATGTGGATGGAGGTGAGGTGGAGAGGGAGGGTCGTGAACAGATAGAGGAAGGGGAGGAGGAAGAATAACCTGGTGGCGCCACCAGGTACTCGGGCTGAGATTTAGTAACGGTAAATCAAAGATACAACTGCAGTGAACCATACCTTAATGAAGCTTTGGATTTCAGAGTCCATGTTGAATATTGTATTCGAACACGTACTGAAATGCATGTAGTTAAATAATAATCCTACTAATTCTTACCGTGGAAGCAGCAAAATTCTTGCTTCACATTTATTTCATATCCACTAACTATGGTTGTTGAAAAGCTGGAAAAGTATATATGTTTTAACACCTATTAATTTCTCATCTTATTCTTATTTTCATTCTTCATGTCAACTACACATTCTCCAAATAAAATAATATTATACATAAATCAAAAACTTTTCTTCACTTTTCTATCACCATTCTCACATCAATCATTATTCCAAAATTTCTATTCTCCTCAAAATTAGATTCAAACACAAGCTAAAGAATTGTATTGTTCATACATTACATGACTTTGACTTAGACTATAATCTACATTCATGGGCGGACCTAGGGGGTCTGCCTGTTGCGGCCTTCAATTAATAAATAAATAAATAATCAAAAAACCCGAGCCGGCTAGGCTCGGGCCGAAATCTCGGGTCGAGCCTCATTTTTTTGGCTAGGATCGGGCCCAAAAAAGCTTGAATCGAGCCCGAGCTTTTTTTTTTGGGGTTTGGCTCATTGACATAGCTACCACCACCTACTTGTAAAATAATCTCGGACTCGATCCATCCAAATTTGACTTGACCCATGCTAACGTGAATCCAAACCCGTCAAAGTGGATCAGGATATGCATGACATGCACATATCTGAATCTTTACAATATGCGTAGAGAATCAGCACGTCGCAAAGCAGAAACAGTGTTAGCATGTACGGATCCCAAAATTATTTTACTACAATTCTTAAGCTTTGTCAATCTGGTCTTCAAATCTTCAATCAATTTAGATAAATTCTCAAAAATGCATGAATAAAAAATATATAAATCTTATGTTCCATAGACTCAAAGTCTTGAATCTGATTGAAAAGTAAATTAAATCAAGATGATGAAGTCGCAATTCACATATCTTGTTACATGCTCAAATTAACGAATTATAACAAAAAAAAAAACTGGCCACAAATACGGATCGCAATATAACATAGTTCCAATCATTCAATCATCTTAAACAATTGATAATTCCAACAGAAGTCTTGAACCTTTCAAAAATGTATAGATTCCCAAATTTTAAAATCAAAGCAGTGGAAGTCCCAAACCCTTTAAAATTGAATGGTGCAAGGATTTCTGGATGGTTTCCACCCAAAGCCA